CATAGAGCAACATGGCGCGTACCGTTTTGCAATACACACGCCTTTTCAGTGTGAGAGACATGTCGCGCTGGCACCAGAGATGCCACAGATCAGCAAACGTTAATCTAGCTTTGGTTCCTTTGTTGAGAGACTTCACACACACCTTCCGTAGCCGTTATGCAACTCCCGAGGTAGATAAAGTTTATGACTTCCAGAGCTTGGTTACCCAACGAAAGTGAAGGGTTGTTTTATTGCAACACTGCACTGTGAAGTGTAGAAGACATGCCATAACGATTAACCCAACTACCAAATGATTGAGCGAGTCTTGAACCGTCGGTGCGTTTTCACCGAGTAAGACATTATCATCGGCATACTCTAAATCTACGACTGTCTTCAGGAAGAAGCTTGACGCCAGTGTTCGTTACGTTAAGTAACNTAAGTAACGCTTTTGTAAAATATCACCTTGGGCAAAGTTGAAAAGAAACGGAGAGATAGAGCAACCCTGTCGTACTCCACTGATGACACAAAATGAGGGTGAAAGTTCAATCTAGGCCCTAACCTTCCCCGAGGTCTGGCGATAAAGTGCTTTTAGAAGCAGAGCATACTTCTCGGGTACTCCGTATCTCAGCAAACAGTTCCACAGTGCGATGCGGTCGGTGGATTCAAAGGTCGCTCCGATGTCCAAAAGCACGATAATAGTTTGTTGTCTGTATGTGTGGCGTTGTTCTGGTAGTTGACGGAGGATGAAGATTTGATCTATGCAACCACGGTGTGCATGAAAACCGGCCTGCTCCTCGCGGATTTGCTTTTCGCGAAGTGGGCTTAGTCTGTTTATTAACATGGGTGCTAACAGCTTCGGCACTATTGGAATTCGATTGGTTGGAACAGGCGTTGCGACAGCCTTTCTTGTAAATTGGTGTAACAATCGATTCTCCCCATGTGTGTGGTACACATTCAGTTTCTCAGATCTTCGCGAACAATCTGAAAAGCTGTCTCACGGGTGCTTCTCCACCATCTTTAGAGAGGGCAGGTGGTAGATTGTCTGACCACCCAGGCGCCTTGTGGCGTTTCAGGGCTTGTAGTTCCCTTTGGATCTC